GGTACCATAAACCTCAATTCTGGTACGCTACAATTCCACCTCTATGGAAGTCAAAAACGTGCTGGTACAATTTTATGCTTCTAACAGGAGGCATCACAACAACTTTTCACCAGGCAACAAATTTCAAATGCAATTTGTGTATGAGAAACCGGCTAGATATTTTCCTCATTTAAGGTGTGTGACTACCCAAAATTCGCCGTTTTGGTGAATATTTTCGAAATTCCTTTTATGATTTTGTTTTATAGCCCATACATTTAAGATTCTAAAAACATTTTATTTTTGTTTCTACTATATTTAGAAGCAAAGTTATAGCATAATTAATAAACCGAAAATGAAATTTACAAAACCGGAAGTAGATCCCTAAGCAAAATATTTTTAAGATATAGAATTGAAATTTTCGGAACCTGTTTTATTTAGCTCTATCTGTGTTATGAATCAAAATCTAATCTCTGTGTATATATTTATGTACTTTATTGCTTTTTTATGGAAAAAGAATCATTAATTTTTTAAAAAATCGTGTTTTTGCATAAAATTTAGCATACTTAAAAAACTTTCAAAAGTATTACAAATCTTTTAATTTCTAACACATATAAAGATGTAATACATGTATTGTATAAATATTATTCGAATACATTTATTAGAATTTTGTGTAACTGCCATTTTTCATCAAAATTTTACTAAAAACGACAATTGTTATAGTCTATAAAACTCTCCAGAAAACATCAAAATTTTTTTTTAAAAAGTCCATATTATTTAAGCATGAAGTTAAAGAGGTCTTGACCTATAAATATGGTGAATTAAAAAAATGTACAGTTAGTAGAAAATTTTTTATACTGTATTAAAATCTTTAAATGCATTTTCTGGAAAACTATGTTTTTCAATTTCTTGCTTCATGGTAAAGTTCACTAAATGTTTTCTTTTCAAGATATCGAATTGGAATTTTCAGAAAATGTTTTCTTTAGTTTTATCTGCAGTCTAGACTATTATCTAATTTCTGTGTATATATTTATGTATTTCATTGCACTTTTTGTGAGAAAATAACATTAATTTCTTGTAAAAAATTGAGTTCTTGCATAAAAAATGACATATTTCAAAAACTTTCAAAAATATTACAAATCTTATAGTTCCAATTATAAATAAGGATGTTATTTATGTACTGTATAAATATTATTCAAATATATTAATTGGAATTTTCAATACAAGCCTTACCGTAACTGCAATTTTTCACTAAAATTTCACTCAAAATTCCCGATATATCAAAAATTATTTTTAATTTTGTGGAAATTGTACTTGAATTCTTAGTTTTATGCCCCATTTCAACTAAAAAAGTGTTTATTTCATCGAAAATTTATATATTTCAAAAAAAGTGCTCCGAAGGTAGTCACATACCAACACATTATAGGTGCCGCTATTGGCGCCTGCTTTGTTTGAATACACTGAAAAGGTAATCATTTGTATATCAAAGCACTTTCAACCTGTCGTTTAAATTTCACGTCTGTAGCATGTTGTCTTCTTGGTGTAGCAATTTTAATGGCCAGTAGTGTATATATATATAATTTACTTAAAATATCTATTACTTAAAAGTAACATATACAAAATTTAATACTTATCTTGATAATTTGTACGGCTTACAATTAAGGTTATATTGTAGCTTTAAAGTAAGAGTTCCTCATTATTGCATACAAAATATTGTTAATATATGGGGGGGGGTATAAATAATGATTGCAAACCGGATCATAAATGCTGATAGTATGAGAAGCACTGGTCTAACGTTATCACTAAAACACATAATATTGCCAATCACTCCAATCGGTTGATTCATGATGGAGTTAACTTCACGTGAGAAAAGTAACATTGGGAAAAAGGTTATGACAAACATGCGCTGGTCACATTCATTGGAATCCAAAAAATAAATTAGTAACTCCTCGAATGAAGGCGGTACTTAAAGTTTGAAAGTCGAGCTATGGTTACATGGGTTAATTGTACCATGTATTTCCAATCACCACACTTTTAATAGAACAGACCAATAAAATTTTATTTATGCTGTAATAAAGGCGGTACATAAAAAAAAAAAATAAAAGTCAATCTTTTACAATATTGGTTGAAATAATTGTGCCTTACATCCAATGAGAACTTTGATTTAATTTGAACAGTAAAATTGCAAGATTATCTAAGAGAAAGCGGTACTTGAAAAAAATAAAGGCCGAACAATGATTACATTGGTTAAATTAATCGAAATTATCGTCCAATCAGCGTGTTCATTAGATTTACAGCAACTAAATAAAGAAGGCAGTACTTAAAAAATAAAACCAATCTAAAATGATATTGAATAAATAATGTGATTTACATCCAATCAACGTTTTGTTGTACAATTTCATTTAATCCCTTAAAGAGGGTGGAGCTTTTAATGTAAAGGCCTGACTATGATTACATTGGTTAAATTAGTATGGCTTATATCCAATCGGCTCTGTCATCAGAAACTGAGCAATAAAATTTAATTAAGTAAAGAAGGCGTTGATTTAAAAATAAAAGTCAATACATGATATTGAATAAAATAATATTAACCTGCCTCCCATTAATGCTTTGTGGAGCAATTACAGCAATAAAATAATTATATTATTGAAAGAAGGTGGTACTTTAAAAAAAGAAGGATGAAATATTACTACAATGGGTGATCGGTTAACGAACAGATCGGTTATAACGAACACTTTCACGAAAGACTTTTGTGTTCGGATAACGAACATTTTCAAGAAAGATTTTTTGTGTTTGGACAACGAACACATATTCGGATAATGAACAAAGCGAATTCTAACGAACACTTCTCGGTTCTGAAAAAAAATTAATATTAAATATTTGTTAACATTTTGCATAAAAAATAAGATCACTGGAAAGAAAAATGTTCAAAGCATGCTTAGTATTGATAATTACTAAATGAAACTTGAATTAACAATGAATTTAAAGGTCATTCAATAATTATTATTATTATGACTAAAATCAATACACACTTGAATACTTGAATTTCAATATGAATATCAATATTTTCTGACAGCTGATAAGTTATGGGCGAGTGGATTTGCTGACATGGCAAATAAATTAAGCGAATTCTTAATTTTTTCAAACAGTGCAGACTATAAAATATAAAGGTGCCGATGACGCGCTACCACCGTAAAAAATACGTGAAATATGAGAAACGGACTAAAAATCGTTTTTCATCTCTCTTGAATTATGTTGCTTACCTATTAAACTTCAAAGTTCTATTGAAAAAAAAATTCCAATAGAATGTTTATACAAATTAGACCATCAGTTTCGGTTTTGATTTCATTTTTTAGGATCTCCAGAACGAATTAATGGATTTCACATTGAAGTCTATGGTGAATCGATGATCGGTTAACGAACAATTCGGATAGCGAACATAGTCTTGGAACGGATTATGTTCGTTAACCGATCACCCACTGTACATTGGTTAAATTAACTGAGATTTTCATCCAATCAGAGATTACATTTGTGAATCCGAGCAATAAAAATTAATCAGTGTTCTAAGATAGCGGCACTTTAAAAATGTAAAGTGATCCAGGGTGCCATTGGCTGAATTATATGTGGATTTTGTCCAAACAGCTCTGCACAATTAATGTCTGAACAATAAAATAAGTATTAGAAAGAATGTGGTATTTTAGAAATAAAAGCCAATCGCGGTGACATTTGTAAGTTACACCAAACTACTCTTTTTTGAGCAATTTCTACAATAAAATCATGAAATTATTGAAAGGCGATATATACTTTAGAAGTAAAGGTCTAACTATGTTTACATGTTTAAGTTTATTGATACTTACACCCTATTAGAGCATCCTCAGAGCAATACAATATTAATTTGCGACATGGTCGATCTTCGTAGACCATGTCGTGGGGTTTCAGCGTAAGTTAAAGGTGTGGGATTCTCGAAATGATGAGACATTTTAGAATTCTTAATATGAGTTTTATTAAGAATTTAACTTAAATTACTTATATATCGAACAAACTTATATTAAGTGAGAATAAACCAAAACACGTAGTCTGAATTAACACAGATCGCGCAATTAGATCACTTATCAATATAATTATATTATATCCGCCTACTCTCAATCTCAATAATATATTCGCGTTTAGAATATAATCTTCCTACCTTGGTTGAATACGTAACGTCCAATCCACTTCAAATATTTCTCCAAGTGGGCGTACAATGGTATGTACCTTGGTTGAATGGCTAGAGTTTCTTGATTCTAGGTAAGCCGTCAATCAACATTTCTATCTTCTCTGAACTGAACTTTCTCTAAATTGCCATCCCGCTCACTAAAACTTCTATCCTTTTAAAGGTTATCTTATATGCATCTATCCTTCGTTTCACTTCTTAGATTTGGGTTGGAAAAGATTTGCCATTAATCGTGGCCTTCAAAGAACATAGAGGTTATGTTAGAGAAAGGACGCGTGAGATGTCACAAATTGATGTTCTAAAAAGGTGGTACTTTAAAAATGCAGGGGAATCTAGTGTTCCATTAGTGAAATTAAATTGATAGATTGTATTCTATGAGCACTGACATTAGTACGTGGGAAAATAAAATTAAAAAAATATTATAAGGAATGCGTTATATTTTAAAGATAGAGTTGATATTTGTTTATATATATAGATTCAAATAATTACGATTTAATATTCAGTGGATGTATTTTGGTAATCGATTTTTAACGGATCAAAGTCATCTGCATTGGATTCTGTAGAAATGAAAAAACGTGTAAAAATATGAAGTTTTCAAATTAAAACGCTGATAAAAACTTCATTTTCTCAATATAAAATGGGACTTCAATCTTCCAATTCCAATCCTCTTTTTACAATGAAATTGCATTGAGCGAACAATATTGAAATGCTTCTGATGGTCTGCTTTAATTCCAGAAAATAATTTGCCTTTTTTTTAGGCTTGCAGTTTTATATCCTAAGCGAATGATTTATGTAACCTTTCCAAAAAGAGATCTTCCCCGGTGGGGAATCGAACCCCGGTCTTCCACGGGACATATGCGGAAACACTCATCACTATACTACCGAGGATTTTAGGTTTCATTTATTTCAGTAATGAACCTTGTTTTACTCTTTCAATAAATTATTGTTAAACTTTGATTTTATAAAATCATACTATATAATTTATTTTAGATGGTTTTGTGATCTAAAACAGCGGTTCTTAAACTTTCGACTGTAGCGACCCCCCTTTATGCATCAGCTTGATATCGTGGACTCCTAAGATTTAGAACACTCCTCTCTGATTCCCAACATATGGTTGAGTGATTTAAAGGTTCCTCAATAATCCTAAGACTGCCTATGCTACTTAAAGACTTTTTAACACTTCTTTTTTTCCCTTTAATCCTTTATCTCTACCGACGGTACTTATAAATACCAGTCACTTTAAAATAACATAGAAAAACCTATTTTACAAATATTCTCACAATACTTAGCAGGAATATTCTTTGATATCCACTCTTCCAAGATATATGGCAGCACGGGTGAGTATTTTAGCGGGGTAGGTGAATATTTTTAGAGCAGAAATTGTATTTTCAGCTGACGGCGTTTTCAGCGGGTTGCAAAGATTATCATTTTTGTCCCGAAAAAATAATTAATGTCAAAATTTAAGTGTATTATTTTTTTTGTATGTTAATGAGGACCTTAGAAAATGAGTTGAACTCCTGGTTGAGGGCCTGTGTGGCGTGCAATAGTGAAAGCAGGATTGGCACGCTGCCCTGGGTTTCTCCAGACACGTCCTCGATTTAAACATTATAGGTCCCGAGTCAGCATGATTTCAATCTGATTAAGCCAAGCATCACTGTAATCTGGCTCTACAAAATGCAGGCGTAAATGGCAGGTGGCGTAGTGGTCGGTACGAACATAAATTTCACCTATCAGCCATCTGTGAATGGTCATGGTGGACACTCGTGTGCGTGTAGTATGTCTGATGGTTGATAACGATGAAGCTGTGACACACAGTGACAGCTGATCTGGCAATCAATCTGTCCTCCCGATCTGCTGTGCCCCTAGGTCGACCTCTACCATCATGACTCTGAAATCTGCCATTTTCCACCCATTCTTGCCAGTATCTTCTAATGGCCGCATCGCTTCGACCCGTATGACGAGCAATTCTCCGATTTGCCCAAAATGCCTCTTTCAGTTCAATGATACGACCTCTTTCAAACTATGATAGTTGCTTGTAATGAGCTCGAATCTCTCGGCAAGGCATTTTTTCAGCCATTGAAAGGTATCCTAAATTGCAATGTAAGCGAAACTTTGACCATCAGACTGAGAATCGCTTCTTATAGACACCTGCTGAATGCGCAGTTCCGATGGGCTGTAGCTCCCGCTATTCATTCATTGGACACCAAATTTTAATCATTTGCATGTTCGATACAAATATGTCTTTGCATACGAAATTTCATTACAATCGAGCAACTCCTTCATGGCGCGTCGGGGGTTTTTGTTATAGAGTGTATGTACAATAAAAAAATGTGCTCTTTTTAGGTACAATTTGGGAAAAACAACTGAGCATTAAAGCGTTAAACTCCGTGTCACCGAGCTGCGTGGGTGGCCGTGGGTAGCCTAGTGATTAGAGCATCAGATCTCAGACCAGAGGGCCTGGGTTTGATGTCACCAAATACCTACCGAGTATACACGAGTACGTGCTTGTTAAATCAGTGGGTCTGAAAGTCATCTGGGTTGTCGCGGCAGAAACCATGGGTGGATGGTTCTGGAGAATATAGTTCTCTCCCTTCCAGTTCATGCCTAAATTGTGGAGGTGGAGATAGGTGGTGTCGCTATCTATCGAGTAGAAGTCCAACCTGCCTTTAGGCTCTGGCAACTTTCCTTCCTTCACTTCGGAAAGGACAAGCCAACAATAACATCCGAATTGCGTATTACTGAAATCGGACAGTATATAAAAAAACTTGAATGATTATTTCTGAAAAATAAAAATCCTCCTTCGATTTCAGTTGCATTATATTGTAAATATCAAAATAAATTCGCAAGAGTTTAAAAACTTTGAACGTAGCAGCGCAAACTGCTCATAAAAAATATTTACCGTTTTCAAAAGCCCTAATACCTCTTTATCTTTCACTGTTTTCGTAACATTGCAATTTTTATAGAAATTTCTTTGGGAATATGGGGCTATTTTCTTTTGGCCTATTTTTAGAAAGTGGCATTCCGTTGAACATGTTTCAGCTTCTGTAACTTGAGAAATCGTTCCCCTTTCAGAGTAAAGAAAAGTCAAAATTAGAAATTTCCCTCAAGCTATTGGCCTCTTGAATTCGAAACACAAAGGCAGAAAATAAATTGGAAAGAACTAAAGAGATAAGTTTGAAAAAGGAAAGTCAAACAATAGCCAGGCTTTCTTTCTTTCGGTATTACTCTTTTGATTACATGCATCTTTTGTAAAAACCACTTTTTATTTTCTGAATGGTTATTAAATGCTGTTGACTTATGTAAAATTTAAGGGAAAGATGGAAAGTGCTTACACATTTTTGAAGTAATTTCGGAGTCTTTTTTTTAACGATAAAAATGTTTCGATCGATTTTTAAAGTCATTGATCTGCGTTTTTCAATTCCTCTCTACTATTAGTTCACTCTCTCCCTATATATATATATACATTGTTAAAATTTTCAATCGTTAATAAAATACTTTCTATCCATTTATTCAAGTTCAAATACATTTTTTAAACTTGTATTGGATGACACTTGATGAGAATATAGTTTTTTCAAATATTAATTCATTCATTAAATTAAAAAATGAATAAATAGTAACAAACAAAAATAATAGTTCAACAGCATATGTAGAAAGAAAAATCGTTCGTTGTGTCACTGTAGCACAATGAATAGTGCGTTGGACTTCTAAACCAAAGATCGTGGGTTCAAATCCCACCTGGGATGGCCTAATTTTTGAGAAGGTGATTTCATTTGAACTATACTATTTTATTAGAATAATCAAATTTAATTAATGAATAAATAGTAGCAAACACAAAATAGTCCAACACCCCATATAGAAAGGAAAACGGAAAATTGTTTTTTATTTCGTCACTTAATGGTGTGTTTCAGTCATATGTATATATATATATATATATAAATTAATTGTAACTATTTAATAAAAAGTAACTAAAATAAAAATTTTCTTTGCTGACCTAATTACGAATTGACTTAATTTTTTTATATTACTTGATAGACTATAAGTCCGCATCATGCTTTCCATGACAGAAAAGCCTTTCGCCATAGTATATATTTCATGCCATTTCTATTTCCCTACTTTCCAGATTAAATCAATCGTGTCAGTTTTGTATTTAGAAAAACTTTTTTCAGCAAATCTAAGATACAATAGCTAGTGGGGTTGGGACTTTTAAGAACGTTAAAGGACTTAGTTGAAAGTAGTGTATATGATATACCTATGATCAGTTTTCTTTTTTCCTAAAGAATGCAGAGGTAGTTTTTGAGAATGACTAATGGCTTTGTCTTAATGCAATTTCACCCTTTGAAAGTCATTAGTGGGGAATAAAGTGAATGTATTCCGTAAGTATGAGACGTAAAATATTCCCTTTATAGAGAAAGAGAAAGATAGTATAATTAGAGTTGATTTTATCCTTATTTTCTACTCGATTTATTTTTAATTTTTCTTTACAAAAGAAATCTGTGACAATTCTAAGGCTCTTACTGGAGCTTTCTCTACATTCTAGGATTGAATGATGATTATTTCATTTATATCACACTTCGAAGTAACATGAGAGCTATTTTACATTCCCGAAACATGGTTTAGAAATCCTTTTTTTTATATATTTACTGTAGTATATAGGCCTTTTATGTTATATTAACTTTTATAAATAAATATTTTATCGAGTTTGTATATAATTTTCATTTATCTCTTGCTTGATTATTCTCATACAGAGTTCTAGATATGGGTTTTGTTAAAAAACATACCTTGTTAAAAATAGAGTATGTGATTCTTTTTACCATTTTCAAAGTGGTCTTAATATTGGTATATATTTTGTTTATTTTTCACGCTGACATTTTCAAATGTTTGATACTCCGTTCTGAATTGGAGGATTTTTTTTGTTACTATTTTGACTTCCCTTTAAAGGTATTCAGATTCGTACGTACCTTTTTCGATCAGTATTTTGACTTTTTTCCACGCAGTGATTGAATTTTTTCTCTTTCCCATTAATAATAAATGTTGCTCAGTTTGCATGCATAAATTTCTTACTGTGCATTTCCCATTTTTTTTAAATTACAGATGATAATAGTGCTCTTCAAATAGAAAAGAAAAGTGTTTATTTTAATTTTTAATTTAAAGCAGAATAAGCATGAAAGCATCAGATAATAATTGCAATACCTTTTGAAAAAAATCCCCGAAGCATAACTATTAGGGAAATTTAGCATGAATAAAGCTCATACATAAATAATGAAAGGATTTATAATTCAAGCAGTAGGATCGATCGATGGCTAGCATTTGTTTATTGAATGCAAAAACAGTGATTAACGAGTCATCCTTGCTGGATATATGCACGTACGCACGATGCAAGCATTTATAAACATTATCTTATTTTGTGATACATTATTTCAGGCATTCATTAATTGTTGCTGCAAATCTGCTACATTTTGGTATATCTGAATTCTGCCCATTGCCCCCATTCAAGTTCGAAGGGAAGAACGCCCGGTAAATTTGCCGATTAAGGAAGACTATCAACAACCAGGATGCAGTCTAGATATACAGGGTGATACCGAATTCATGGTACAAACCTTAAGGATAGATACAGGACATTGTAACGATCAATTATTGTAGAGGAATGTGTGAGCACAAGAGACGCAGTGAGGTGCAAAGAGGGGAAGTAAAAGAAAAGAGAAATGGAGTTATCATAAGGTTGGTTGTGTTGTCTATAGGGGGTAGTAGATATCTAGCCACCATTTTACATGACGCAGTAGGGGAAAGAGCCAGAAGCAATTGTGGACGTCTACGATAGGAAACTTTATGTATGCCGAAAATGTATCATGCATTACGAAACGAAAAATTATATTTATCGGGTGCCAGCG